TGACACGGCTTTTCAAGCGAGTGGATCCTGCTATGGCAGAAGAAAAAAAGTTGCACCTCTTCATGCGTGGTGTGAAGGAATAACTTTTTCTGGTTTGGTGCGTAGTCCACCCAAGAGTGTTGCTGAGTTCCTTACTGAAGCGGCAACAATGGAGCAAGTACTGCACCAACGGTCTGCCCTCTTTGACCGTCAAGTGAATGCTGCCTCAACTCCCGAAATTTTCGCCACTCCTGGGAGCAAGAGCCCCGAATGGATTCGCGAGATCATCCGAGCTGTCGTCCGGGAAGAAATGGAAAAGATATACGGGACAAGGCAAATCGATGTTGGTTCTATGAACAGTGTCATCCATGACGAGGTCCGGCAGGTGTTGCACGCCCATCGTTTTCCACCGATGTCGGTTGATCCGGAAACGGCTCCTGTGTCTACTGACCGTCACCGTCGTACGTACATGGAAGCCTTGCGATCTGCCACGCCTCTTTCTGGTCGAGTCCCGACCTAGACAGTGCCGCACGTCCCGATCCAGACAGTGCCATACGTCCCGATCCAGACAATGATGCCATCAGTGGCGATTCAGTCAGCACACGCTGGTTTGGACATTGATGGTCGCCATGCACCGACGCGCAAGTCTGATCTCTGGCGTACGCCGGACAGACGACCCCTCCGCTATCAATGCGGTGAGGCTGGTCACATTTACCGCGAACGCTCATACCGTCAACTTGGCCTGCGTGGATTTTTCGTCAATTCACCTCGTCCCCAAATTGGTCAAAGGCCGAGGAATATTGAAGAGTATCTCGCGCAACAGCGTGCACCCTTTACACGACGGCAATCGCGGTCACCATCGCCGAGGAGAACCGCAGCCACTGGGTCACGTTTCGAGGTGACGGCACGGGAACGCTCTCAGAGCCCTCGTCGGGAAAACTGAAGGCAGCGGCCTTCGGGGGCAAAGTCGCTGGGACTCATAATGCGGAAGACCTCCCTATTGACGCTTGCACGCAACACAGAAGTACATTTCATCAGAGAATAATCGCAGTACAGAAGAAACGCCGAATTCCACATCTGAACCCAGTGACCGCGTGTCACTTGACATACCTGTGCTGATTGACGGTTTTCAGGTCAATGCATTGATAGACACTGGTGCATACTATTCGATTATCAGCGGTAGGCTAGCAAAAGATCTCAGGAAAGTGATTACGCCGTAGAATAAAACGCGAATTCTAACTGCTGGAGGACACGTTGTAACACCGCTGGGTCGCTGTACGGCAAGTGTGAAAATTCGTGCGTCAATGTTTGTGCTCAGCTGCCTCGTTCTGCGCGACTGTTCACGTCAGCTGATTATCAGCATGGACTTCCTTTGGAAATACGGTGCCATCATAAATGCACATTAGTGTAGCTCCGATACAGGAGCCCTGCCTTCTCAAAAAATGAAACATTCTTTTTCTTTGTTCTTAATTGCACACTTTTCATTAACGCTTTGTTCGAGAAGCCCTCACACTGCTCTCGAATAAGCGTTTCTTGATCAACCTTTGACAACTCACTCTAACTTTCCGCTACAGTCGAGAGCATTGCACCCCTCTCGCCCTCACTCAATGGCGCCTTGTCGTCTCCTCCTCCGACTAAGACAGCGCTAGCTGCTTCGGCGACGGGCCACTCGAGTGACTGCTTGAGTGACGGACCCAGGGAATTTCTTGTGCGAGCTTCTGTCGACTCGCTGCCAAGGTGACATATATATATACGCAGTTTTTGCAGGTGGTGTTTCACTACATTGAACAAGATCAAGTTGCTGCGAAAGCTTCCGCGATTTGATCACGTGAGGGCCATGTACGCTAAGTTAGAGGAGAACTATTCGCCCTGCTCTTTGAGAAGCTGGTCAGAGTTAATAGAAAAAAAGATAAGAAAAACGATGGGGAAGCGCCGCAGACACAGCTGCTTCAGTGCGAAGCTTACCTTTAATGACAACCAAAGCAGGCCTTCAATGACAACCGTAGTGATTGGTAAGCAAGCACTCTGCACCACGGCGATTCGCCTGAAGCACGCGCACTCTCCTGAAAAGTCGTCCGGAGACACCAACGAAAGATGAACAACGTCCATAGTTGCCGCTGAATCTCGCAGTGCTCGACACGTTTTCCCCTTCCCACTAATTTCTCGAGATACGCCTCTAACAACCGCACGCTCTTTTCCGATTCTCGGATTGTTGCGAAAGCAAACTTTTGTTGACAGTTTACCTGCCATGTGCCCTTCCTTTTTGCAGTTGTAGCAGATTAGCGGCTTCCATGATTCGAACGCCCGGGTGGTATCAGTGCGTTGTTACGGAACCTCACTCAATTCTCTGCTTCTTTTTGACCTTCCCCTACAGTGTCCGACGTAGGAGACAGGTCCTTTCTGAAATTACGGTGCGGAGTGGGTTTTTGTTGATCAGATTTCTTTGAAAAGCTCTTTTTTATTTCACCCTTTTCAGCACGTACTGCCCGGCTATGCAACTTTCAGTCAGTATAATCCTCCTTAGCTAATTCTGCTGCCCTGTTCAGCTGTACTTCGCCAAGCTTGTCCTGCAGCGAAAGCTTGACGTCATCCTCGATGCAGCGGTATATTTGCTCTAATGCAATGCATTCTACCACCTTATCGCGATCGTCATAAACATCTTCACCTTTGAGCCATTCCTTTAATTGGCTTTAGGACAAAACGCAAAGTCAACGTGTGACTCATTCCCCTCTCTTGCATACCGGAACCTTTGCTGGAAAGCCTCGGGTGACAACGTATAGCGTCTTAAAAGCGCTTTCTTAACCTCGTCATAACTCTTAAACGCTTCTCTCGACAAGCATATTATCACGTCGGACACTTCACCGGGTAGTAGAGCTAACAGGTTCTGCGCCCACAGAGACCACTCCAAAGCATTTCGCTCACAGGCGTGTTCAAACTTGACGAGATACTTCGTCATGTCCTCGCCTACTACAAACGCTGGCAGTTGGTCTCAAATTCTATGCCCACTGACCTGAACCTTTGCAGATGCTACGCTAAGCGCCTGTGAACACTGTAGGATCGCCAATTCTATTCTTTTCAACTCCAGGTGCTTTGTCTCTCGGCCTCCTCTCTCTTGCGATGTTCGCGCCTTTCAGCTTCTTCTCGTTCGCGCACTACTCACCTTTCAGCCTCCACCCGGTAGGCTTTGATCTCCACCCAGGCCTCATCGACTTCCTCAGCTGTTACTCCTTCATCCTTCATGATCTCAAGGATCGCTTGATATTGTTTCGCACGGCCCAAAGTAAGGCCAGGTTCCTCACAAATTTCGATGAGTTCCTTCACTCTAAGGCTTTCCATCGTTTACACTAGCCTCTTGCTGTTTGCCCCTGTTAAGAATCTACTTGCCGTTCTCACTTTACTTCAACCAGCAAGGCGCACAAGCAATTTTTAACACTGCCGTGCTTACACCCTCCATGTTTACACCCTCCAAATTTGCGGGAAACGATCATATCTTACTCTAATGCTTCGCACATCCTTTCACTTTCACTTTCACTTTATTTCCTTAAAGACCCCACAGGGGGGGGGGGTGTTACATAAGGGGTGGGTTGTACAACAAAGATACAAAAGCCACAGGTCAACATTGCAGATGCATTGACACACTTTGAATAAAACGTGATGAACAGGTGATTGAAACAACATCGTGGGGGTGGTCATTCCATTCTTTGGCGGCGCGGCAGAGAAATGATGCAGAAAATGTTGAGGTGCCAGATCGGGGTCGGAAGACTTGAAGTGGGTGGCCAGTGCGGGGAGAAATGCGTGCGGCGGGAGCGATGTAAGGTGGTTGGTGGAGTGAGCTGTGATACAACTTGTGGTACAGTGACAACGTAGCAAAACCCTTCTCTAAACTACTATAACATTTTCTACAGCAGTCTGGTGAATTAAGGGGAAAACATCAGGTACTCACCGCATCAATGTCACTGACGCCGGCCGGTACCACAGCTGCCATCCACTGTTACGACTCATACAACCGCCGACACCTTTGCGTAGTGCGCCAAGGTCACGGACCACCACGGTTGTTCAGTAGCGCGTTTCTTAGGTCGCGGCTGCTTTTGGGCAGAGCTGATAGACGAACGGACAAGACGACGGTGAGCTAAGGCAAGATTTATATACAGCGTAGAATAGACGTGTTACATATTCGGCACTGCAGCCGACAGCTTAGGGACTCGAAGAGGCGAGGTGTCTTAGTACACTCTTCTCTCTGACGTAGAGGTCAGCTGCTTGACGCCGCGTTACTTGGATCTTTTGGTAGGCCCCAGGTAATGCCTTACGTCACCAACGTCCAATCAGAAGCGCCACTGGCTGTGTTGTCGAAATCCTCCAGTGAGAAACCGCCACTGGGTTGCACCCATGGACGAGCGATGTTGCCACGCATTGAGTAAGACTCGCCAGACTGCATGACGCCGATTGTATCATCGGGCTGCTATCGAGCCCGTGGTTTGAGAGAGCTCGCCGTGCGTTGCATAAAACACACCAGCGCCGCCGGGTTAGATCACGTCGTGTAGGTGATTACGTCAGGAGGGTTCACTTACTGGCCTTGACACAGATTGCCTTTCCAGAGGCAATGACGTTCGGTCTGGACTCCCAGACGTAACAATGCGTTATAGCTGACGTGGAGTGATCTCTGACAGAAAGTATTTTAAAATACAGTACAGGTGCTGTTATACTAGTATTACCCAGGCATCACTTGACAAGGCAAGAATGTGTTGTTGGTAACTTTAAGAAGACCTCCTGCCCCACCCTCCACACACACATGCACACTGCCAATTTTTTTCGCTATTTTGCCTGGGGTACGAAAAAGCAAAATAAGGTGTTTAAACCTTCATCTTCACTTCTATCCCCTCCCCCGCTACCTCAAACATACAACAAAAGTTTCACTACGTTCCCGCACGATGGTCCCCTACCTTGCTTGGCAGCTTTCTACCAAGTGATGAAAATGCTGATCCAGCACTAATCTCGCACAAACACCAGCGCAAGGCACTGACCCGTCCAACCAGGTTCTCGGCGCTTCCCACGAAGGCGCTGGGCGAGTCGTCGGGTCTCCTCGGCGCACTGCTCGTCAGGTGATTCTGGTCCAGGCCCAGGCTGCCCCGCGACGAGCCTGCAACACCACAAATGTGTCTTGCCACCCACTCGTAGAAAGCTTGACGGCACGAGGAAGCAGGGCGCGCCTCAGATTTTTGCTGCTTCTAGTGCACAGTTTGTGGCATTTATAATGAGAACATACAAGAATTCCAGGAAAGCGAATAAGTTTTAGTAGTGAATGTATTGTCACACTCTTTTTGTTAGTGAATGTCACTCTCTTGCAAGTTGTCGTTTTTCAAGAGCCACCTCAACTTCAACCTGACTTGCAAAACCCGCGGCGTGATACCACGGCCTCTTTGCCTACAAAGACTTGTGCATGCGACGGCTGGAACAACCATCATCATAATAGTTGAGCGCCAGCTGCAACAGGCAAGAATTCGGGATCGCAGAGACACGATAAGGCACTTAGCGAACGAAGCTTTGTTTTATATGACGATGTATTCAATTGGATTGTCCCGAATACTCTCCTAGCATACAGTTGCGTATGAATGACAACGCTTACCTTCAAAGCCACTGGCGCGAACTATCGCACGACAAACGTTAGAAAGCTAATCGTAATTTTCAGATGGAGCTGGAAATCATGGGAACAAAACTTATGGTATATTTTGTCTTACAAGTCAAACAAAAGTGAAGTCGCTCTCCTTCACTGCGGTCAACGCAAGTGTTGAAAGTGGCCAAAGGAAGTTAGTCTGTGTGGTGGGAAATGCCATCAGTCTATTCCCGAAGGAATGAAGCCCGCACGCGTGCCGTAATCTTTCTGTCACCTCGTCTGTGCCCTTTTGTCCTCGAAAGAGCGTGAGGCCATCTAATCTTTATGTAATAACGAGAAAATCGTTATTCTCTCTGCCCTCAAACACAATGCACCTGTTTTACTAGACGCAGAAGACTTAGTCAACAACATGTCCACACTTCTGGTGTATGAGAGTGCCTGTGCTTTCCTGAGCAAGGATCCTAAAGCAAAGTTTCAAAGGGACCTGCAGAAATTGCTTGCTGACGTTTTTCGGATGACGTCTTTCGCAATCCTCTGTAATATTAACTAGTTTGCATTATCCACTGCATCCCAGCTTTATCTGACCTTCCGAGTATAAATAAACCTGATGTTTCTTGCACCACATAGTCGATTTCGACCGTTAAATATTATTGAAGTTGCGTCGCTATCTGCACAGAGTTCCCAATTTTCTCGTTAGATGAAATCAGACACACATAATTAATTCTGCAAATTTTATTGGGAAGGTGTGCGCCTTGTAACCAAAGGAAGACGAGAACTAGTGTCCTTTCATGTCAAGTCTCTGTTTGCAAGAGTGCCAGCCGATATCGTCGTTGAAGTCTGAAGAGCAGCCCTGGAGTAAGACGGGACACTACGAGAACGGACGCCACTAGAGGTTGCACACCTGACGAGGCTTCTCCAGTTCTACGTGCACAATACTTACTTTACGTTTCGGAACAAGTTCTACAAACAGGTATATGGCACTGTCATGGGTGCATGCGTGTCTGCCGCAGTCACAAACCTAGCCATAAAAGTGGTCGAGGGTGTTGCTTTGACCTCATATACCAAACCAAAATTACTCGCGGTGTATTGACGATTGCTTTTGCGTTTTGCGAAGTGACGCTTTGCAGGCCTTTACTGCTCCGCTGAATTCAATCGAAGACTCGATACAAGGCAAGGTGGAAAAAGAATGAAAAGGCTGTCTTCTTTCTCCAACGTCCGCGTAAAACGAGAACACGGGCGCTTAGAGTTCTTCGTCTACAGGAAAAACACAGATTTTGGGCGGTATACTTCAATATAAGAACACTGAATCATTCTTGCCACAAACGCTTTGTTGTCTCAACACTCTTACAACGGGATCAGTGGACTTGCTCAAGCAAGGAAGGTGCACGTAGAGACGTGGAGACCATCGATCGAGAGTTCGCCGCATGTGGTTACCCGTCTCATACATCAATGCAGTCTATTGTCATGTTTCACAACCGGTTCAACCAAGCAATCTTTCAGAAACAAACTGCATTGATGCCGTATGTGCGGGGCTTTAGTGAGGCACTCTCCAGATCTTTACGTCGATACGACGTACGGATGCCCCATCCAAAATTCATTTGAGCGGAAACACACGACACATCGTGCACATCGTGCACACACACACACACACACACCAAGGCATCATACACACACATCGCTGTGGGTGTTTGATGCCTTGGTGTGTGTGCGCGTGAATATTTCGTGTGTTTGCGCACAAATGATTTTTTGAAAAAATCTACCAACTAGCCCAACTACAAGATCTTTTACAATAGATGTTCCGTACATCTGCGTGAAAACCTAAAACAGCCTGACGAACGTCAAGAACAAGTTAGAGAGCGAGAAGTTTGCAGGTGTGGTCTGCAAAAGCTCGTGCACAATTTGCACACATTATGTAGGAGAGAAAGGCAATGTCAAGAGAGGGTTATCCGAACACAGCAATGACATGAAAAACAAGAAATGGACGTCGAGTAAACTTGTCGACATGTGTGCGCCAACTATATCATCAACTGGGAAGATGCTTCCGCCATCACCACGAAATAGAGACTCTCTCCCCGGCTTCATCTCGATTCATTGTATATTTCAAACACTGCGTGCTCGCTGAGCAAAAACTGTTAAAATATTCAGCCTGTGTATAATAATCGCCTGAAAGATGCAAATAATCAGCCTTACAATTAAGTGAACTTGCTGTTTATGCTTCATTGTGATCAAGACTCCCGTATAGAAGCCGAAACATATTTTGGAAGGTATTTTTACCATTGTCGAGGCTATGGTAAATTAATACATGCATTTTTCTCCCCAACAAGGCATGTGTCCGTCAAACTATCGCCTACATCAATGCAGTGTGGAAAAAGTAAAACAGGCACTTTCCGAAGAAAAAAAAACATGTGGTGTGACGTAGACATAAACTAGCGGTGGTCGCCAAAATGAAGATGATGGGTAAACGTGGAGCACTTGCGCGTAATATTCATCGGCCAGATCATCCGGTGGACGATCTCTAGTGTGTATAAATCTACATCTTGGCTTCATCAAATTTGGTGGAGGTGCTGGGTACACCACGCCTCAAAATGGGACTTCGCAACGGCCGTCGTTCGAGGGGTCACTCTGCAACTATGACGGAAAGTACGGCTGATTCATTTGTGGGGTTTAACGTCCCAAAAGCACCATATGATTATGAAAGACGCCGTAGTGAGAGACGCCGTAGTGAACTTTGACCACCTGGGGTTTTTTAACGTGCACCCAAATCTGAGCACACGGGCCTACATTTCCGCCTCCATCGGAAATGCAGCCGCTACAGCCGGCATTCAATCCCGCGACCTGCGGGTCAGCAGCCGAGTACCTTAGCCACTAGACTCGGAAAGTACGGCGTTTGTATCCAACGATACTACACAAGTCAAGTTTATTTCAGTAACGTTGTCAGCATCTGTAGGTGGTGTTCCTGAGGTTGAAGGTGATGTGGCGACCTCATGTGCTCTTGCGAATACTGTGAGCGCGACAAGCGAATCACTCTTTATTCTCTTTGATATCATCATCACCTGTACATCTTCTTCATCTGAAAATATCATCACCAGCGTGATTTAGCTCGAGCCTGGCTGAAAAAACTGGTTCCTCACAAGTGGTGGACTGTGCTTTTCGTTCCCTCAAGTCCTCTCGCCCGTTCTCGCTGGAGCTCCGCTCGGGTCGTCGCATACAACCCCCTGCCATGGCGGCCCAAGAAAACCCTGGCCCATCCAACGTCACCGTCCTACTGCAGCCACCGCCACCCACTCCGCCCAACAACACTCGCCTGCGTGATTTCCGCCTGTGTTTTCCGGTCTCCGAGGCGATGATGTCAAAGACTGAATCAAGAACTACGACCTCGTCAGCGATTTTAACAGGTGGGACAATCCACAGAAGTTGCGCAGCGTCCCATTTTACTTGTCCTATGTTGCAAAAACTTGGTTCTAGAACCACTACCCAGATCTTCCCGACTCGGACACTTTCGAGCAGCAAATTCGTGAGATATTTGGTGCCCCTGCAATTCGCACTGAGGCAGCAAAGAAGAAACTTGCTGAACGCACGCAGCTGTCGGATGAATTTTACACCTCTTATATTGAGGATGTCCTTGCACTGTGCAAGCGCATTAACACTGGCATGTCTCAGAACGACCACATACGCCACATTATTAAAGGTATTAACACCGTCGCCTTTAACGCCCTCGCCACGCAAAATCTTGCCACCACCCAGGACGTGATAACCATCTGTCAGCGACTTGACGAGCTTCAGTCTCTCCGCCTTAGCTACGATGTCACCGACGTTCGTTTGCCTGCACCCCTCGACTTGCGTGCGATTATTCGCGACATCGTTCGTGAAGAGCTGCACGGGCGCTCCTCTTCCTGTGCTGCGGAAGTTACTTTCCCTTCTGAAAAAGATAGCTTTGCAAGACCTGATTAAGCAAGAGATCGCCTCCGCATCGCGTGCGACGTGTTCCAACAGTCCTTGTGTGCGCCAGACGCGCACGTACGCCGAAGTTGCCGCGCTCTCTGCCGCACCCACCATGTCTATGGCTACACCAGCAGACCATAGGTCTGTGGCTTCGTTATCACCACCAGTGCGTGCACCACCTTACCACGCACTTCAGCGCCCACCTCGACCAAATCTGTTACTACTGCGGCTATCGAGGACATATCACTCGGTTTTGTCGAAGGCGCCAACAAGACGAGCAACGCGGCTACGCTCCCGAAAAACATCGAAGCTTCCGTCCGACCATGAACTACCTACGACCACCCTTCTGGTCGTCCTATTACCGTTCACCGTCACCTACTTACTACACGGACGTGCCTGGGAATTCCCGTACGTCTCGACGCAGGTCGCCTTCGCCAGGTCGCCGTTCAGTGTCGCCTCTACGGCCCGCCTCCCATTCCGCGAACGCCCACGCGAAAAACTCCCCAATGCAGTTTTAGGAGGGCAACTGCATCCAATGCACAGATAACGATTCCTCCAGAGCGGCCATCGAATTTGATAGAAGT